GTTTAAAAAAGCCCAAATTCCTAGCTCAAGAAGAAGAGGAAATGTTGAAACTTTTTACATTTTTTGAACTTTATGAATGCTGCTTATGACTTCAGCTGCTAAGGTGCATCTCTGGATGCAATGTATAAACTGAATTTCTTTGTGTATTTGAAAACAATCTGGCATAATGATCTCACAGTGCTTTGTAAATTGGCACATTGTAGAGGGCTTTATTGGGAGCTTGGTTTGTATAGAACACCTGAGTAAGTAATATAAGTCCAGGACAAGATAAAGTTAAAATAACTGAATGTATGAGGGGCCAATCTGGATCAGTCACTGGGATCAGACAAAACCTCTGGTCCCAGTGACTGCCCCAAACTGGATCCTGCAACATTATCCTGGGGCAAGTAAATTCATCTTCATTCGTAAATGTATGAGACTCAGCATCGGTTGAGTCTAGACATACAAGCCTAGAATAAAATAGAAATTATATAGAATATGTATAACATTTGATTTATAATATTTGATTTCTTTTATACATTAAAAATTGTGATCAATGATCCAGTCCTAAACTGTTAGAACTGTTAGGTGCTCCAAAAATCAGCCAATGTCATGTGTTCATATAAGGCTTTTAAAAGTAAATAAAAACTGATAACACTATCCTGATAGCCAAAAATGCGGAGTCTGCTTGCAAATGATCTGCTAGTTATAAAAGTCAATGGATGCAATGAAAAAAATGGAACTAAAATTAAACATAAAGAATTCCAAACTAATGACATCAGTATAATAACCAGCCTGAGAAATGACAATGAAGTTATCAAAGTGAGTAGTTTCTGCTTTTGAGGATCAACCATCAACAATAAAGGAACCAGCAATCAAGAAAAAAACTGCAGAACCATAGACAGCCAAGAAGTCAAACAAATAGATAATGAAAAAATCAACTTGGGTTATCATTCAAGGCACAAATGAACATGCTTAAGTTTTCCTACTTTGGACACATTACGCAAAGATTTATCTCTCTGGGGAAGGGTCTAATGCTGACGAAGAGGAAAGGTGGATAGATAAGTAGTTGGAATAGGCATTGAGCAAATACAGAAAATCTAAGCAATGAGTCAAAGGGAAGGACTTTGAGAAACAGCATGGAGAAACATACCTTTTCAGAAAGTAGAAGTAGATGCTTATCTACTTCTATACCATATTAGGGCTTCTGAATCAAGTTAGTATATTGTTGACTTTTTTAACCTATTCTCCAAATGCCCATGCTCTGAGATGCCAGAAAATGAGATAGTGATGGCTCATAGTCTGATTTTTTTCTTTAGAGCTATTAAGCAGTATTTATCATGTATCTGTAACATACTATATTAGCATTTACATGCCCAATTGATCCTGTCAAACATTTTGGGGACCTGTGCCAAAGTTTTGCAAAAGTGTTCTGACCCCTGTGTGTTTGGAGATATAACTTTCTTATTTGTAGTAAACAGGTTTAACATAACTGTGTTCTAGAAACATATTTCTCCAAAGGCATGGTTTGAAGGAATGGTGGTAGTTAGATGTGCATCTACAGATGTAAATTATACAAATGCAGGAGAAAAAACAGGTACAATAGTGCTTACGGCACAGGTAAAGTTGTCAGCCTATAATAACCTCAGGGTTAGGTCATTCAGTTCTTTGATGGATGTCTTTATTGTTTTAATGTTTTTAAATTGTTTCAATTGTTTCATAATTTTAGTTCTAGAATTGTAAGTCGTATAGAGTCACTTGGTTGAGTTGAAGAGGGAAGAAGGGAGAAGTTAGAATAAACATAATTAAAAAGTAACTACAGGGTAAATTAGTGTCTTCTTCTTCTCTCCTCCTCCCCCTCCTCCTCCTTTTTCTGCATCAACAACCCCTGAAAGAGCAGATCCACAACATGGGACAACTCCTGGCCTCAAGTTACTGTCAGATAGGCAGATAAAGTCTATGTCTATACCAGTTACCCAGATTAAGATGGTGTGAAAATTGTGAGTCTCCTGCTTATCACTACCCAATGGAATAATACATGAGCTAGCTTTGAAGATTATTTGAACACTGCAAATGGTTCAAAGTGCAGTGGCCTGCTTATTGGTAAATCTGATGTGCCAACCACATAAGACCTGTTTTGTGGTCATTGTTTTTCTTACTAACAGCTTTTCAAGTGAAATATTCAAGTGAAATATTCATTTTAACCTATTATGCCCTGCAAAACTACTTTAGTTATTTAAAACTCGATGGGGAGATGCAACTAAAGTTTTGCCATTTCAGTCCCCATATTTTGAAAGGTTTCTTTCATAAGGTTAGGTTAGCACTTACACAGGTGGCCTTCTGAAAACTGTTGAAGACCAAATGTGACAGCAGACTTTTGGTGGATGAAAATTGTTCCATTGAGCCTGTTCGTACTTACTTATTTTTATTCTGCTTTTACTGATTGATAAGGAGCCCTAGTGTTGCAGTGGTTAAAGTGCAGTAGTGCAGGCAAACCCTTCACACAGTCTGGAGTTTGATCAGTTGAGGAGATGACGAGGCAGAGCCTGAGAAAGGAGTCAAACACGTTTTCAGCCTTGAGTCTCTTCGTGCACACACGAGATCTAAATTTAGCCCAACTTGAATTCCACTGACTCTTATCTACTGCCAATTTGCTTTGACCATTAGTAGTTCAGATTCTTGTAGAGAGTTTAAACTTGTAATAAAATCTTATATCAGGGGTGAAATCAACTTACCTTCGCTACCGGTTTGCAAATGTGAGCACATGCGCGCGCCACCTTTCCACATGCACGGAACTTTTCGCACATGTGCAGAGCGTCAAAAATGGGACATGATGACGTCCAGGTGGTGGGCGGGCATCACGCCACCACCGCTACCGGTTCACCTGTACCAGATAGAACCATCTGAATTGCACCACTGCCTTATATACATTTGAACTGCCTGAGTTTCCTGATTTCCACACTTGACACTCAGCCTTCCATCCTTATGAAGTTGGTAAAATGAGGGCCCAGATTGTTGGGGCAATATGCAAATAATGCTTACATTATAAAACATTCAGAGAGTGTTGTATATAAGCCTAAATGCTATTGCTATTGCTTTACAGTGTGTAGGCACAGTTGCTATTTTTCTGATAATGAATTTTCAAGAGTTGTTAATATTGCGATGGTATCATAATATAATAAATATATTATAAACACAATATCTATACAACACACCTATAAAACAGCCAGATATTGTAAATTACTTCACTTTGGAATTCTTGTAACCTTTGATGGAAATTCATTGCTTAGAAAGTTTATTGCTTTAACCTTTAACCTTAAATGCTATTCATTTCCTTTAATCAGATTTTGAGTGTCTCCCACTGAGGCACATTGTCAGTGAAATTTTTGGAAGTCAAAAATCATTTTAGACATTATCTCTGTAATTAGCTATTAAGGATTTATTCAAGTCTACTCTTTATTGCTGAGGTGACGAAGACTTTGATTCAATATTTCTATATTATACTTTTCCATGGCAGTCAAGGTGGTATAGTGGTTAAGCTGCTGGACTTCACTGTGAAGCCAAATAAGTGATTTTAGGCCATTTACTATGACTCAGCCTAGGCTGGGAGAAAAGATATATATATATATACCTGACCTGCAGAATCATAGATAATGATCCATAACAATCAATAAAAAGGCCTTCATCTTGTAGTGGATGATAATGAAGATTATTAATAATTATTAATAATGATAATATTGTGCTGCACATAGGATCAGAAAAACCTATTTAGGATAAAAGTGGTCAATATGTTATTCATGGGCCTATAACAGCACATCTTAATGGTATCTATGAAACATCCACATGAGAAAAGCACACTAACTATAAATTAAAATAGCTTGCATATTGAATATTGTGAAATTTTAGCAAACTCAATATGACATTTAATGAGTAAGATTATCAAAATCTGATATGATTTTTCTGCTTTTAAAATGCTGAAAATTGTTGAGACCTCTGGCATTGTCCAACATTAATCCTGATGTCCATTGTTTGAAAAATATGGCTTTCCATTGATTTAGGGACCATTCCATGGACACTGTTTCCTCAAAGTGAGGAGTAGTGGTGAGCAGATGAAGACAATTCACCAAGATTCAAAATTGTTTCAATAAAAAGACATGTCTTTGTACCGGCTTCTTCGTATAAGATCAATAGCTAACATGAATATAATAAAACAGTTAAATGTAATAAACGTCTTTGATTTTTGTTTGTTTGTTCTTTGTTTCTCCTATTGCTAAGGCTGCCCACTTGCCAACTAATGGGCAATTATAAAAGGATTAAAAACATCTAGCAGGAATAAAAAAGAATTATAGCAATGAAAACAAATGGAGGCACGCTCCCTTGAGGGATGACGGGCTCAAAAGACATAACATAGGTTTGCACATCATACTTCCCCCGTTTCTGTGGGTAAAGCCAGGTTTTCAAGATACCCTCAAAGACTGCAGAATTAGGCCCTACTGACCTTCAAGGCATGGCTATTCCCAATGTATTACTTTCTTTTGAGGGGCTGGTTAACCCATGGTTATCATATTGGTCACACTGGCAGAATGCTACTTAAATAAATAATGGAAAATCCCACTTGACAGTATATTCAGAATTCAGTAACATAAGCATAATCAGTTTAATATAAGTAAGTGGGCTATGTTGAGTGGTAAACTGAATCATTTGTCTAAAACAGATAGGATCATTTCATTACATTATCTGCTAAAATGTGGTAAAATTTCAGAATTCAGTTCATCTCCTTGAAATATGTATATCTTTAAATTTATGCTTCATATAACATGTGTCCCATGAACTTTGCCAATAGCTTCTTATGTAGGTTTTTTTTAATATCATAGCCACATGTACAACATGGTAACATTTCATTTACGTCATTTGTTCACTGATTTTTTTAGCACAAAGTGGGCAACTGGGTCAAATACTAAATCAAAATCAGAGATAAAAATATTTTTTTCCCATTCATAATATTCTTGCTGTGTTTGCAGGTTCGATGTATGATGGTTTGTCTGATGGCTATAACTATGGAACAGCTCGTGGTACCTACTATGCCAAAGCCCACACAGGAACAAATAACTGGGGCAATACGGTAAAGTTTTATGTTTGTTTGTTTGTTTATTTTGGTCATTTGGTCAGGAATAGGAAACTCAAATCCTTTTTAGGTTTATTTAAAGCCATGTTGAGAAGGACTGGAAGATGGAATGGTTAGTTTGTTTAAAGACATAATCAACAGTTTTCTGATGATTGAAAATTTGATTTTGTATACTATTCCAGTAACCAGAGTCTTATTTTTCTCTGTAGAGAATCTTTACAATTCTCTGTGTATTATATGTTGCATTTTCTAGTTGTAAGGCCCTAATGTAGATTAAATTAAGGCATTACTTTATAGAAAATAGAAGGTTTTCAGATAAGTTTCTCTTAAAAGCATTGCAATTCTATACTTTTCTTTAAATGCATATAAGTACAGTCAGCATGTATAAGCAAGGTGTTAACTATGGAAATCTATAATTATCTTGCTGGCTGAAAATCTTAGTGATTATAGTTCTAATGCATCTGTAGAGTGGTAAATTGGGGAAATTTGAAAACCAATTCGAAGACCAACAATAATCCCTTTGTGTTTCTTAATAATTCATTTCTAACTGGATCTTGGAATAAGGTGGAACTGGGGATGTTTAGACATAATAGACATTGAATTCTTTGTTTCTCTAAGCAAGCCAAATGACTAGATTTAAAGATATTTTAGGGAAAAGAGATAGAAATTGATATCAATGCAGGTATATTGTTTCAGAGAAATTACAATGCATAAGATTTTATTTCCTGATTAATTATAGTTAGTCAGTTAAAATATTAAATGACTAAAGGCTACATCAAAATTGACCAGACTTCTAGCATAAGCTGTAGCTTATGTTAAACATATAACATAAAATATATAAACATATAGATGACATTTGTAATTTAAAAAACCATTGAATTGAGCATAGTAGCTGTCTTAGATAGGCAGCTTAGATAGCAGATGCTCGTATGAGGCCAGTGCAAACCTGTTGCTACTGTTCTTCCTTTGGTGCAATGGAAAATTGTATCAGTAGGTTTGAAGTCAACAGCTTTATTCAATTAGACCAGCCTATTTCTTCTTCTTCTTCTTCTTCTTCTTCTTCTTCTTCTTCTTCTTCTTCTTCTTCTTCTTCTTCTTCTTCTTCTTCTTCTTCTTCTTCTTC